ATTCTACTCGCAAAAACCAGAGTTCTGCCTCTGAAGGCAGAAAAGTGGTCCCGAGGGAAAGACAGACTCATGAGCTTCTTGCGACAGGAAATCATCTTCTCTGAAAATTTTGGCATTTTGCTAAAACCACACTTTTGTCCCTTAAAAAACAGGGAGCTTGGTCTCGAGGAAAGAAAAGACTCAGGGCTCAGACAGCAAGATATTCGCGCTAAAAAATCTTAGGTGTCAATATTTAATTATAAAGAAACTTGCTAGAAAAATTACGGTTCCTTCTTCTCAACCGTACTTCTGCCCCTAAAAGCGGAAGCATAAGGAGCTTGGTTTCGAGGGAAGGAAAGAGCCAGGGTTTTATGCGACAGGACAGTTTCGGTAAGATTGTCCTTCAAAGGAAGGCGTTGGGCCAGCTTTTGTCTGTTCTAAGAAATGAGTCCGTTCACTGACAAGACATCATCGAAAAAAATACTGCTTCGCTTTTACCTACATATTCGAGTTTTCGGCTGCTGGAAGACATAACTTGGCGCTTCCTTTACATGGCACTTTCCTGGAAATCAATCTGAGTTTTGAGATGAATCGGCTGCTCTAAACAGGTGCTTGGAGGTAGCTTCCTTGTTTAAGAGCTGTGGTATCTGGGCGAAGGTATCTGCAAGAGGAATAGCAGAGATGCTTTTCGGATAGTCACTAGTAGTAGCTTCTTTTCCTAAGAGCATAGTGTTTTGTTTCTACTACTCACAACACGCGAAAGGTCGCTGGAAATATGGAAATTCTCTTTCTTGGGATTTTTAGTCAATTAATGGCAGAAATCAATGTATCTGTATCAATGTATCTGCGTCGAGCATGGGGATTCCGAATACAATATTGGTTTTCAGGATTATCGATTACTTTTATCGATTTTATCGATTTTTTTGCAAAGTTTGAGCTACGCGGCTGGTAGTTTGCACAGGGGGGTAATCAAGCATGGGGATTCCGAATACCATATCGGTTTTCAGGATTATCGACTACTCTTATCGATTTTATCGATTTTTCTGCAAGGTTTGAGCTACGGAACTGGGAGTTTACACAGGGGGGTGAGTGTGCATGCTGATCTCGAAAACAACACAGGGAACGGGAAATGAAGTGTAGAACACAGGAAACAGGAAATGAAGTGTAGAAGTGGGCGCAGGGAAAGGCTGTACAGGGATGGGGACGGGACCTTTATTACAGTTTTTGACAGGGCCGGGCGGAGCCGGATAAGCAAGCTAGTTCAATAATATAGTCAACTCACAGTGTGCTGTAATTGGAAAAATTTCTTGGTTGAAGAAAAACCAATATTTCAGAAAAAAGGTACTGAACAAAATTTGCATTCACCAAATATAGTGATGTCTTTGATTGAATAATCTCAGAGATATATTCTGCCATAGTCCGAGCAGCCCCATTTGTCCACAATTTTTTCAGTAATAATTATGCATCAATTATTTTTATGTGATAATTATTGTTGCACATTATTTAGCTCTATTTTACCGTGAAGCGCGAATAACATAGTAGTTGTGCGTAGCTGTAACCATATTGAATAGCTATGCGCAGACGTAACCATGAGCATTTTGCAATCATACGTAAGTGAACTGAGCGTAGTAAATTTTTCTATAAGCAGTCATGCATAATTATAACTGAGCCAGACTTGTGTAGATACAGAATATTTGTGCAGAACCGAATTCAGGACAGCGAGGGATCTTTCCTTTGTGGTTTATCTCTAGTTTATTCATCAGTTGGGACACATATTTTTGCGCTAGTTTACTATTCCCTTCGAGATGTTTTCACGCAACGTTTCCATGACCTTTAGGCTGTTGCAAATCTATTGCATCGATTTTTTGTTCGCAAGCGCATTTTCTTTATTTTTGGACATGGACTTGCTCGCGTTCATAGCTACAGTACAAAATGTGCAATGCAACTCGCTCGCTATGAAAAATAGCGTTTGTCGACGTGCCATAATCCCTGTCACACATGGCCTAGAGCTCTGAAGCCTTTATGCTAATCCATTCCAGCAAGCAATGTCTGCGCGTATCAAAATTGTAATAAATTTGGTGACAGTTTTAGAATCTCCTGATCTAAGGCTGTGGCAAATAGCGCTATGCGCCTGTGAATATTCGGAGCATCTCGTTCATCGGCAAGCTCAATTAGATTTGAGGCCATGCATCGCGATAGGGTGTAGTCAGCAGATTTAAGGTTTTGGCTGAATCAAAGAAACTTTTCCTTCATAGAAATAGGCAAAACATTTTTCTCATTGTAATGAAGATAAAATAAACACTTTTTCTCTACCGACAACTCGTGCTTAGATACTTACTAGAAATAAACTTTTTCAGATCAAAACTAAGGTCCACTTCTATTTGGAACAACTTTCACCTGGGCAAAAATAATCAAGCCAAAAAAATCTCAAGTATATTTTCTTTTAAAGTCAGTATCTCCTTTTCAGCCAAATTTTGCTGCCTCTTTGTCACCGATAGGTCTAGTATAGATCTATAGCGAATTTTGTAAAATAGTCATAGAAAAAAGCTATTTTTCCTGCTGTTTCAGAGCATGATACTAAGTAAAGGAGATTGAAGGGCGTAAATGTCTATTAGTTTTGTTAGAAGAACGACTTCAAACATCTTCGATCCAAATGGGAGTCGCTTAATTGCTCGAAAAGCACTTTGCGGGAGCGCCCCCCCCCCCCCGAGAATGGGTCGCGAACTTTTTGAAAATCTTATATATAAAGCTGAATGTCTGTTTGTATGTATGTATGTCTGTCTGTCTGTATGTCTGTGTGTACGTATGTTCCGAATAGAAAATTCCATTTCTGAACCGATCGGGACCAAACTTGGCACACATACACTTCGGGCACCGGCTGGTGTCATAGGCTACTTCAGCATGCTCGATTACACCCCTCTGCCAACTCAGCCCCGTAGCTCAAATTTTGCAAAAAATCGATAAAATCGACATCGATCGATAACGAAAAGTGGACTGTGACACCCTCCGGGGCCCAAAGGGTATGTGTGCCAAGTTTGGTCCGGATCGTTTAAGAAATGAAATTTTCTATTCGGAACATACGGCGGAGCCGGGTAAGCCAGCTAGTTACTTATATGCGTAAAAATGCGCAAGTGACTCGTAATTCTTGTAAAAATTGAAATATTTTTTGAAAATTTTTGAAAAATTCAAATTAGCCTTGTAAAAAACTTTTTTTGGGGGCGTGGCGTTAGCCACGTCCACAAAAATTCCATTGAAATTTTTTTTGCCGCCTCCCCTCCCCCGGACGGAAATCCTGGGACCGCCACCGCTTTGCGGATATGATTTTTGCTGTGTAAGTTGAATTATCCTCCAACAAAAATATAAGTGCAATGGACCAAAGGATTTCGAGATGCTCATACTTGTGAAACATCGCTGTTAGAGCATGCTTCGTGACCCCTTCCGTCCTAGTACCCCTTCTATCCATATGAATACAATTAGATGGAGCGCATAGTTCGAACGTTTGTCGGAAAAATCAGTCCTTTGCCCATCACAAGACTTAAAGCGGTGGATCATTTTGTTACCGTGATTTTCTTCAGTGAGAATCATTTTTTCGAAATGACTCCTAATTGCGATCAAATTTGATTACTACATGCTTTTTCCTGGTGTTCACTGTCTATAGCGCCATCTCCCTCAATTATAAGGGACAGCTGAAAATGCTTCATAGCAACCAAAAGAAAAGCGGCAACTATACAACTGTGTCTAAGAGGAAAAAGAAAAATCAAGCGGTCATCCGTATTTTTGCAATCACGGTTTGTGCGCTCGCACAGAACTAACGAGCAACGATCCAAGGTGCCTTACAAATAAGAATACCGCGCAGATAAACGCAGCGGTAGAGGAAACTACAGGGTGCGGCAAAATTCTGGGAGCCTAAATTTGCAGTACTGCAATTACAAATATACTGATGGTTTTGATTTCAGTTTTATGCCACATGATGCTGCGGTCACCCTCTATAAAATGCACTTTATTTGGCTGGAAATGGCTGCCATATGTTTTTGTAAGAATG